CCCCCATTCTCACCATTTAGTGAAAAGTGCCCTCAACATCGGAATACTCTAATAGCACCTTTCGAGGTGTATAAATTTAATTTATAAGATAACTATTGGGTTTTTCATTCATGCGACCTAGTAATTTTGTCTAATTTGCAATGCGAATCTCATGTTTTTTTACATGCTGTACGTTAAATTAGGTGGTTGTACAATAATTATAGGCCTAGGGCCTAGTTTTTGGAATTCAGGGGAATTTGAACAAATTCGAGAGACCGGGAGACTTTGGCTCCCGATCATATTGGGAGGTTTGGAACCTTTGTAGCAGTGATTGATTTTCATGCAATCAATAGCTGTCTATCAAGATCAGCCAGTATGTGCTGTCAGGCCCAACATGCTGGATCATAGTGACTACAGTAACTACCTTATGTTTGTACATCTGCATTGACAACACCTGTGGAGTCGACTTTTAATAGGGTATTAATAGGGTTTTTATGTAGGCGACACCCTAAAAAGTAGGGCCCTCACCCAGTCTGGCCCCACTTAGCCAGGGTCCACCCATTCTCTCCCCTCCCCCAAAAAAATCATACTCAAATAAATCACCTTTTGTGAGCTAGTTCCCCCTTGCCTAACCACTGGTAAGTGGGTGAGAGGTGAAGACTGTGGGGTGCCATACACAGCAAAAGTCTATGTTAAAATCAAAATGTAATTGCAAAATTCAATGTCTAATTTATCAAAACATAGGTTTAATTTCTCAAAATGTAGATCTAGTTTCTCAAAACGAAGTTCTAATTTTTCAAAACCTAGTTAAAATTTTCCAAAATATAGTTCTAATTTCTTTAAAATATAATTCAAATTTCAAAAGTCTGACTTGATCAAACGTCCTCTCCAACTGGTTTGATTTACATTTTACGACGACAACTAGACATGCAAAATGTAGATCAAAACAAGTCAGCCAAGCATGACAGGCCCGTTCCATTAATGATCTTTTGCTTCATCCAATGCCGTAAACAACACTTCCCAACTCGTGTCTAATGCTCAGGGCAGGGTGGGCATTTTCCCCCTCATTGGACAGGCCTGGACCCACTATCGTCCGACAAACAACGAGGTCGTCAGATCGAAAGTTTTTAACAATATAATTTGCCTATCAAAATAACTTTATTTTGATTGCCAATCTCTAACATTGTGGTCTAAGAGCACATTTTGAACCATACTAAGCCATAAAAACTCTACGTATGAACACCATCAAATGATTTTTTATTCCAGGCTGTCGAATGAGCCTTCGTCGGCCCTTTGGTTTGAACCCCTCCGTCGGACACGGTTGGACCCCTCGTCAGCAAATTTCTGGTGCCACCGCTGGCTCAGACTACCGGCGATCACGGGAGCCAGGCCTAAGTGGACCGGGATTTGCAACAGGGTGGACTAGGCCAATAATATAGTAAAATACTGTATAGTCATACAAAATAGTTTTAAATTTTACCAAGGTCAAAATTAACGATTTCATTTTTTTTAATTGAAAATATAAAAAAAAAACAAAGCAAAAAAAAAAACAAAATTAAAATACCACCAAAAAACCTCAAATAAAAGCTCAATGGGCTAAATCTCAAAAGAAGAAAATCCCAGGAAGTCAATCTCGAATTAAGTTCCCCTCTTTAGTGTGCAAAAGTAGCTTCGACTCGATAATTGCTGACCTATTGAATAGCAAAAGGAAAAACCGCAAGTGGTTTGGTGCAAAAGTCAAGTGGCACAGAGCAAAAGTTCACCTGACTTTAGTACCTCAACACTTTTGTTTGCGTCTGCACCACTTCCAGTTTGTCCCTTTGGCATGATGTCAAGTACTGCAGTGCAAAAGTCAAGTGGCATAAGACAAAAGTTAGTCATGGCACACACTTGAGTGAGAGCTGCTACTTGACTTCAGACAAAAAAACTATATATATGTGGCTTATTCCAAAAAAATAAAAACAAATGGAAAAACAATGCTTTTACAATAGGTTTTATTGTTACAGATAGAAGATTTTAATGTTACCCATCAATTTTTTATTTTATAGTGATGTTTCTGGTAACCAGAGCACCTGGCTTGTAGCACCGCTCATCTCAAAGCTATCAAGCCAGGTACAGGGTTGTGTGCTGAAGGCTGCTGGTAATGCACTGGAATGTGTTGGACAGACATGGTCCAAAAGCAGCAAAGACAAGCATGCTAAAAGGTAAGTACCATCTCACCTTTCACTAAAGCTTGGTTCACACTTGGCAGGCATCAGATGCAATGACAAGCATGCTAAAAGGTAGTACCATCTCAACTTTCACTAAAGCTTGGTTCACACTTGGCAGGCATCAGATGCAGTGGACCTTTCCGCTAAGCCCTTTTCCCCTTGGATATTGTTGCTAAGGTCCTACAAAAAAATAGCGTAAATGTATATATATATGTGCGTTTGTATGACATGCAATATTCCTGGGCTTGTTCTGGTTGGTCAGCTGTTTAGTTTTATTGACATTCCTGAATTGTCCATTGAATATAAGTTAGATTGGCTTCCTGAATTGTCCATTGAATATTGCCTGATGCAATATAAAATGTGGTTATTTCACTAATCTTAGTCTCTTTAAGAAAATGTTAAGTATGTTGCATTTGAACACTTCATATATTTCCAGGATTAAGAGCTAACATCTTTGGTAAATTCCAGCCCTATTATAATTAAAATGGTACTGGGTTCGATCACCAAGTTTATGTGCTGTGAATAGGTCATTCCATTCTTATTCTCGTCCCTTTAGTTTATTTTTTTTCTATTTCCATGCCAGCTAGCTTTTATAGCTTTAACTAGGATAGGAGGCGCCCGAATCCGAGATGGCCGAGACTCAACAGGTGCTGACTGTAGTTCAATTATAGTTACAGGGATGCAGTTATGGTGGGTGAAGGTGGGCAGAGATACCCAGCCTTGAAACTTCCCCCTAGTCTAAAGGCAATTTCATGGCCCTCCACCCACCTTTATTAACCCACTTTCCCATCCTTTAAAATCCACTTTATTTAGAGTTTACCAATGATATCACCCACCCACCATTAAAATGTCTGCCACCACCCACGGTTAAAGCTAATCCCTGTAATTTCTATTCAAATGATGACAAATTTGTGGATACATGGGAAATAGGAATTACAATGCTCACATGGATGTTATAGGAATATTAACCTGTACTGTACCTGGACTAATGATTTAAAAAAAAAACTTTTAGGTGGGAAGTATGTTTGATACAATCATTAGACGGTCTCTTATACACATCTAGATGTGTATAAGAGACAGCTTCAACTGAGATTAAGTTTGGTAATTTGATTTTTATGGTATTTTCACTATTATTGTCATAATTGCCATCATCCTGTAATCGTGATCATCATCATCACCTTCATTGACATCATTAAAATTAAAAGATACAAGATAATTTTATTGTTGTAACGGTACATACAAAATTTTGTTCCAGTTGCATAATAAAATATAAAAAGTACAAATTGCACTATAACAAGTTAGAAATGCTAAATACATAAAACCCAAATAAATGACTCTCTTAAATTTGTTGTTATAAAGAAAGACCTAAGTTGTTCAAAAAAAGAACTTCTGGATCTGGACGAGCTGTTATTAAGTGGACAGTTTGTCAGCCTGGATCTGGATGAGCTGTTATTAAGTGGACAGTTTGTCAGCCTGGATCTGGATGAGCTGTTATTAAGTGGACAGTTTGTCAGCCTGGATCTGGACGAGCTGTTATTAAGTGGACAGTTTGTCAGCCTGGATCTGGACGAGCTGTTATTAAGTGGACAGTTTGTCAGCCTAGATCTGGACGAGCTGTTATTAAGTGGACAGTTTGTCAGCCTGGATCTGGATGAGCTGTTATTAAGTGGACAGTTTGTCAGCCTGGATCTGGACGAGCTGTTATTAAGTGGACAGTTTGTCAGCGATTGCTTGGTTCATTGGATGTGATGCATCTTTCATTTTTTATTATTATTTACAGTACAGTCTTATTATGAAAGTCATTCAGGTTACCTGAAAAAAAAAAAAAACCATATCGTGGGAAGGCTATAATTTTACTGCGCAACGTGAAAGGAGCATTTTTGTTTATACCATGGGAGAATTATTTTAAATGACCTTTTCTGTATTGTTGAACTGATGTGTTTGTGGGTCAAACTCATAGCCCACATTGGCACAGCATATTAAACTACTGGCTGTACAATACTACAATAAAGACAACTTAATGCAACAACACCAAGACCAGCTTTACGCATTTATCTCAAGGATTAAAATATAGAATTGACTTTTTTACACATGCAATCAACTTGGGCATTCTCTGTCAGGTTATGAGTTAAAATAACACCCAAAAGTTTAGTTTGGTTCTCGTACTCAATAGCAGTCCATTTTTACAAAGTTAGATTTCGTTTTTTTCCAACATCTTAACATTTTACCTTTTAACATACAGTGGCAGATCCAGAGATTGGAAATAGAGGGGGCCTATAAGGGACTTTCACAAATGAAGGGTCTAGACCACCTCAGCCCCACCATGGTTGGGCTGAGGTAAGAATATTCTTTTTATTTTCCTTCATATTTTATAATTTTAAAAAATTTAGGTTGGCCAGCTTCCCCTTCTCCCCTTGAATCCACTACTGACATACATATAAACGTACATACATAAGTAGCTGTTCATTTAGTATTTTGGGAGAAAGTTTTGTAAAGCTTTCATTCAGATGTTGAAGGCATTATTGTTGGAGACATTTATTATAGGCTTTGAATATATTTCTTAATTGTTCACCTGTATAAACCACAATAATTACATGAAACTTTTTCAATTATAGTTACAGGGATGCAGTTATGGTGGGTGAAGGTGGGCAGAGATACCCAGCCTTGAAACTTCCCCCTAGTCTAAAGGCAATTTCATGGCCCTCCACCCACCTTTATTAACCCACTTTCCCATCCTTTAAAATCCACTTTATTTAGAGTTTACCAATGATATCACCCACCCACCATTAAAATGTCTGCCACCACCCACGGTTAAAGCTAATCCCTGTAATTTCTATTCAAATGATGACAAATTTGTGGATACATGGGAAATAGGAATTACAATGCTCACATGGATGTTATAGGAATATTAACCTGTACTGTACCTGGACTAATGATTTAAAAAAAAAACTTTTAGGTGGGAAGTATGTTTGATACAATCATTAGAAGCAACCAATGGATGACGGAATTTGCCCTGCTTCTCCTACAACTAATTACCACTGGCACAGTTGATATACAATCAAACAAGTAGGTCATTTCATATCATATGAAAGTTTTTTTAGATGTGGTTTTTTAAAATTTTGTTTGATTACGTAGTTAGCAAGGTAGAGGTGCTTGTCACTTTAATCACTGTTTCTCATGCCAATTACTGGTTTTTCATCTTTTTTCTATTCCTATTACTCATAAAACCTCATAAGAAAAAAAAAACATTATTTAAAGATGTGCTATCAGTCAAAAAGACAAAAAAAAATTACTTCAAAAGTTCAAAAATAAATTTGAATAGCTCATTTGATAGGATCAAATGAATTTTTGGCTTCCAATGAGAAACAGATCAGAAAAGTAGATTTCACCAATTTACAGACATTTTACTACAAAAATCCTTAAATTGATTAACAACCAATTAGGATCTATGCAAAAGAATACAGAAAAGTTATTATTTACTGTCCGAAAAATGATGTGGGAATGCTTATCTTTATAGTGAGTTATTCACAATTGTATTGGACATGCTGTCTGTGTTAATCAATAGCACACTGACAAGTGATGTGACAGCAAGCCCTGGTACAGGCGAAGAGAATCGCAGACAACATCTCAACCTCATCAAAAAGCTTCGTGTAAGTACTTTACAAATCAAATTCAGTATTCCAGTTATTTATTCTCTTTTGCAACAAACATAATTACCGATTAAAGGATGAAACTAGACTTACTATGTCTGTAAAACTGAACATAATGCTTTTCTTCATTGTCATAATGAGAAGTGATGTTGAAATTACATAAAAATATTATTAAAAATGTACAACAAAATACATGAAAAAGAAAAATGAAATCATATTTAAGAAAATTATAAAGTAAAAAAATAAATATTTAAAAAAAAATTAAACTTTTTAAATTAAAATAAAATAAAATTAAAAAAAAAAAAAAAAAAAAATTAACATGAAAACCACCTGAATGTGAGTGAGACTCAGACTATGCCTACAGTGGTAATAGCAAGGGTGATGTTGAGAATTCCTCCCATTATGCTTAAGAGGTCAGTGTATTTTTAGGCAGTAGTAATAGCAAGGGTGATGTTGAGAGTTCCTCCCATTATGCTGAAGAGGTCAGTGTAATTTTAGGCAGTGGTAATAGCAAGGGTGATGTTGAGATTTCCTCCCATTATGCTCAAGAGGTCAGTACATT